GAGTGAGAAGAGGCTCGACTGCAACTGATATCCGATGTAATTAACTTGCTTTTCGAATAGCTCGTTTGTTGGGGTAACTCCAGCTACCATCCGCCAACACTTTAAGTGCAACTCTATCTGGCCATTATAACTTACCATGTTTTGTTTCTAGAAGCGAACAGGCAATTTTAGTACTAGCCACTTCCGCGTCTGCCTCAGGTTTGTCTGCATACGTTTTCATCCATTTTGCACGTAATGGTCTGACATCTGGAGAAGTGGGGACAAGGTGAGCGTGGAGGATGGGCCTGCAATAGTGTCTTTCTTCCTCCCCCTTTCCCCCTTCTCCCTCTCTGCGCTCTTTCCACTCATCCACCTTCCTTCCTGCCTATCTTCTACCTTCTCACTGCTCGTTTTTGCATTGTGCAGTATCCCGCTGCCAATTTTCCTGCCTCTCGGTTTCGCAGACTGCACTACGTGGCATGAGGTGTAAAGGTGTTTCATTTTGGGAGTGTGAGGAGATCTTTGTCTTGCGCCCTCAATGACTTATCTACTGTTACTTAAATGTTTTCAGTAAAATGATGTCTGGGCTAATGAGATAGCTTGTGCAGCTGAGTTGGGATGGTAGTTTAACAGACGGACATGCTACTTAATTGGTATTTCAATAGAGGGTGAAAGCACACATTTGACAATGATTGGAAACACAAGTAAAGAGCCTCTGTTTCATGTTCGAACAATATGAAGCTGTGCATATTTGGTACTTGCGGTGTGCAATTTGTGACTTAAATGTCTGAGGAGAGATGATGGTCAGACAGGCCTCTCACCGTGCCACCACTTGCTGTTTGTTCCAACAAGTAGAATCGGAGCTCCTTCACAAACTCTGCCACACACAGTCTGGTCACTGCGCCGCTTATTCCCTGCCACGGACTCACTGGTAAAGTACAATGTTTGCATTCTTTCAAACCAATGGGAGGGATGAAAACACCTAAGTTCGTGCACAAATACGCATGGAGATCGTTTTTGTGAGTCCACCTTGCTTACTTATCCATTACCTACTCCACTGAGTCAATCTGCGTCTTCTAATGGTAACACGACGTTAGCCTGCCTTCACGTTCCCCAACATAATACCAATGCATCAGTAAATCAAATGCACTCACCCATTCTCCCTCTATGGATTCAGTAGGAAGAGTATGGTCACTATGCCCCTCTGTGCCCTCTCACCCCTTCATTCCACCCTCTCTACCACTTTCTCAGTAAAGCGTGCATTTTGCACGCACTGCCTATGCATAGATGATGCACTGTGATGTAGTTTTGCTTGGACAAATCAACATTGCCTCGAAGCAGGAATCACGAGGCATTGGAATGAGGATAGATGCAGATGCTGAAAAGAGGGAAGTTGATTAGTTGAAGAGAAGTGGATGAATGATTACGAGGATGTGGTTGGGTGTTGGATGGAGGGGGAGAGTCGAGGTGGGTGAATCAGTTGGGGGATTAATGTGTGTTTGGGCGAGTGAATCAAGTGGGATGGAGGAGTGGCCAAAGGAATAAAGGCATGCGGATTCACGACTTAGAGGTGGTTTTACAGCACCAGATGGATGGATAGATGGATGGATGAATGAACTCTGAAGTGATGGCATGTCTATGTGATCGGTGGATGCATGG